AATCTAAGAAAAAGTTAAGCTCTCTTTAAAATAGGTAGTAATTGCTTATATGTATGATATGATTTGATTTGTCAAATCCAAGGAAGATCTAGAAAGGATCTTGAAAGAAGCAAAAAAAGGTTTACATAGCAAATGACTTTCAGATTAATATAGAAAAGTCAAATTTTTTTGTTATCAACTGGAATTCTCAAGTTTTTAGAACTTTTCAAGCTGGAATAAAGGATACTATATTTTATGAAATTAATAAAAAAAAATTAAGCTAGATTTCGTAATATCTAATTAGAATTAAGATAAAAAAACTAGGATATTATTAATCTGATAGAATCAGAAATTAGAACAGTAATTTAAGCAATAACTAAAAAAAAGTTAATAAAAAAATATATTTGATATGTTATCAATAGGGTCCTGATTCCAAGAATAGAATATAGAAAATAACATACATATATAAATAAGAAGACATGTAATGATTTCACAGTTATATTTAAGAAAGTATTTAAGAATAAGGCTTTAATCTGTGGAACAATACTGAATAGTTGTATCCATAATAAAGAAATATATGGTTTCAAGAGTATCTGAGAAATACAACTACAGTTCTTTAGTATAGTGATAAAAAAATACAATAATATTTATTATCCCAATCACCAAATCAAAGATCACTGTATTTAACATAGTGTTTTAAATATACTATAGATACTATTGAAAAAAAAATATGTTATGCGATAGAAGGTTTAAAGTTAATCTATTAGAATATAGATGTAAAATAAACAAAAGATACTATTATACTGTTCTATCAACTCAATAATGATGAGACCTTCAATTTTATTACTATAATTAGACTAAAATAGAGTTAAATCAAATGTTGCGAACCTAGTAATATTTTAAACAATTCTATTAATTCTTAAAAGCTAATTAAAGAAAATTTGACAATTGCAACACTGGCCCTGGCAAAAAGTATACAAATCACTTTCCAAAATTGAAAATAGAAAAAAACATTTAATTATCAGGAAGGTATCCTGTTTATTAAATCAATACTATAAAATGATAGAAAATATAAAAAAGCTATTTCATCACTACAAAAGTATAAGATTATGTTTCTAAATTAGCTTATTAATACTATCACAATGATACTTAAAGAATGGAGAACAATCCAAATTCTTTTTAGTAAATGCAAGAGACCAGTCCCTTTCTAATACAAAAAAGTTTATGAAAAGACAATAATAAATCAAAATCTATTATTAAACTTTTTATATGAACTCAAATAGACAGTTTACAATATGTAAACTAAAACATTTTCAATAAATCTAGATAAAAAATATATATATTAAATAGTTTACATTAATACTTCAACAAATACATTAGGAAAGACAATATTTATAAATAATAATTTTATTTTACCCCATATCAACTAATATATAATTTTATTAGTAATTATATCTATTTTAAATCAAATAGAATAATGCAATTAATAGAAATAGTTCTATTACAAGTTCACCTTTTTTCATAACTAAATAGATATAACAATCTGAAAAAAAGAAAACAGATTATTTCCTAGATTACATTTAAAAAAATAGTTTTTAATAATGAATGAGTTAATATGTGAAAGTTGCAACAATTTATAAATATTTAGTATACTATATATAAAATAAAGATATGCTACTGTATATTGATATAACTGCAGATTAAAAAAAAAAAAAATAAATACATAATAAATTAAATATTTTAAAAAAACTCTTCTAACTAAAAATGAATTCCTAAAGGGAAAGACAAAAACAAAAATCAAATGTTTCTTACTAAAAAACATTAATATTTTTAAATTAATAACTATAAAAAAACTATTCACGATTGTTCTCCATTATCCAAAACATTGATTTATAGTTTTTGTACCATTTGTTTCTATTAAAGTAAAGAGCTATAAATTTTGTTCTCAAAAAGGAACATAAGTAATTTATAAAATTTTATATACTAAATACTTTAAGGATTCATTATTACTTTTGATTATACACAAAAAAGATATTTACAAGAAGTTTTTTACTTTTTTGTAATAAAGTCTTATTACCTTCCTTAAAACAACTTGAAGTTTAACTTCAAGAGTTATTTCTATTCTTTCTCTTTTATTTACAAACTTTTTTACTTAAAAACTTGACTTTCAATAATCAATAAAAGTCAAGTAATACCTTTGATATCAATGGTAAAAAAGTTCTTAAAGAAAAAAGAACTAATTGTAAAGTATCTGAAAATTCTTTTAACCTTTGAAATAAGATATTTACAGAGGTTTTGTTATAGTTAAAAGGCTTATTTTCTTTCTTTTAAACTGTTCTAGTAATATTTAACAATCTATTATTTATGATTTAAACTATTTAATAGTATTTATAATTCTTAATATAAATTATTTAAACTATTTAATAGTATTTATAATTCTTAATATAAACTATTTAAACTTTATCTTATATACTTGTGATATTTTTTTTATTCATTACTATTTTTTTTTTATTATATATATAATTGAATTTATTATATTTATTTATAATATATAAATTAAATAAATTATAAGACTTACAATAATATTTATATATCTTTTGAATAAAAAATTTTTTTATATTTAAATTTATTTTAGTATAAGTGAATTTCTATAATAGTTTTTTTATTCTTTTAAAAGATAATTTAACTATAAGATAAAATGTTTTTTATAGGAGATTTTTTAACTTTTTTATTATCCTTTTTTTTTTGAACCTATAGTTAAGAAGATTTTTTATTATTTTTTTATTTGATAAAAATATTTGAATATATAATTTTAGAAAAAAAATTTCTATTATTTTAAGAGTATTAATAAAGTATGGTTTACTAGTATTAAAAAAATAAATAAATCAAATAATTAGATTTTTAAAGTGATAGATTAAGTTTTTAATAATAAATAAATTAATTTTAAACTTTTATATAAGTTTTAATATAAAATAAAAAATATTTTTTATTGATTTTTTAACTACGTATAAAAAAAAAAATTTTACAAGAAGTTTTTATACTTCTTTGCTAATAAAGTCTTGATACTTTATTAAAACAACTTGGGGTATAACTTTAAAAGTTGTTTTTACTCTTTTTTTCTTATTTATAAATTTTTTTTTTTTTAAAACTTGACTTTTAATAATCAAGAAAAATCAAGTAATATTTTTGATACTAATGGCAAAAAAGTTTTCAAAGAAATAAAACCAACTAAAATATTTGGAGATTTTTTTAATCTTTGAAATGAAATATTTATAGATTTTTTGTAATAAAAAGTTTATTATTTTTTTTTTTAGTTGATTTAATTTTTTTAAAACTTTTACTTTTATAATTTTTTAAAGAATTTTATTTGATCTTAAATTTTTAATAATATAAATAAGCTTTTATTAATTATACTTATATGTTTTGATAAAATTATTAATAATTAAAAAGAATGTTTTAAATATGTTTGTCTTTAGAAAAACTTAAGAAATAGATAATATAAATTATAAACCCTTGTTTCTTTTTTAAGTTCTTCAGATAATAACAAAGTTTTAATAAATAAAAGATAAGATCCAAATATTTTTTTTGAAATATTTAAATTTAGTGCTCACTTAAATGAAAGATTGGTTTGATTATTGTTTGATATCACAAGTAATAAAAAAAAATTCTTTAAGATTCAAGTAAAACAAAAATATTATTTCAATTAGTTAAATTTTTTGAAAAGAGGTTGACTTTATTTTTGAACTTTTTTTATTGGTCTCAAATTGTTTCTTTTTTTCTATTTCTTTTTTCCTTTAATTTAACAATTTATAGTTTCAAGTGATCTATAATAATAAATTGTTAATGATAAATTTAAAAAATAGATATTTATACCAATTTTTAAAAGAAGTGAAATATTGTTTTTTATTTAGACTTGACTTAGAGCACTTTAGTGCATAACAAGTTAATCATTATATGAAAAATCTGTAATATCATAGATAGTTATATAAACTTTTCAATAAGATGGTATGGTTATAAATTAAAAAAAACAATTCTAATATAAAATTATTTGATTAAAAATTTTTCAAAATTAAGTATTTAAAAAAAAAAAAAATTAAAAATTAAAGAGATATTGTATATTCTCAAGATATAAAAAAAAGGGTTTAACTAATTCAGGAAAGACATATAAAATAATGGTTATAAGAAAATCATCAAATGAAATAAAATTCAAGAGATTTAATAAAAAGATAAATAAAGAAAATAATATTATTTATTTTAATAATTTTTTAAGAAATAGGATCTATACAAAAATAACAAGAAAAAAAATTTTATTGATAAAAAAAAATCTTTTTTGAAAACCTTGATAGGATGGATTAAAAATAATACAATACAAAATGATTTTTGTCAAATCTTGAATAATAATTTGCAAGTAATAATATTAATAGTTGAAAAGATCTTTATTTGAATTATTGATAAAATAACAAATCACTCTTGAAATTGCACTTGGAATCACGATGATCAAGACGAGTGAGTTAGACTTTAATGATACGCATAAAGATGTGTAGTTTACAAATATTTAATAAAGCATATGTACAGTAACTAGCCTAATAGAGAAAAAAAATTTTTTAAAGTATTTTAATGCCCGCGTGATTAGCGTCGATCTTACCTATAGAAATATTGTACTTAGCTGCCTCATCGCAAAAATTCGAATCCGAGACTCATTCCAATGCAAGTGAGTCAAAAATACGTTTTTTCGAAAAAGTATTACGGTGGGCTCGGAAATCATATACACTGTCTGATTCTCGATACATTCTCTTTACAGGGGATAAAAGAACCGAGCGTACTCGATAGATATTAAGTTTTGGAAAAAAAAAACAAAAACAAAAAGGGAATCAAATTCTTCATCGATTTCTAGTCAATTACCTCAAATAAATTTACGGCAAATCGAAAAATAGTAAGCATTTTTTTACTATACCTATGGTTGATGTCAAATGATAATGGATTATGATAAAAAAGGTTCGAACAGATAGCAACTGGATATCATGGGTCTTGTCACAACGATTGTTGGTTGGGCGGGTTTCGGTGTGGGAGTAAGAGCGCTTTCAAACAGCATTCAGGGGAGACCTTACTTTGCTAGTAAGTACTTTATATTTCGTTGTTAACTTACCGATTGCCTCATAACGACCTCAATAATTTTTTGTTTATTAAATATTGTTTAGAACCAGTGACTCACGCACTTACAGCCCTGTTCTTTTCGGGAGTTGGAACCTATATTTATTTTGCTAATGAACGCATGGAGGAATTAATCGAGAAGAGAAAGAAAATTTTATTGGAAAATAGGAAGCGTAGGAAAGAATTGGAGGGTATCCAACCTGAAGGCGCCATTCACTAATAAATTCAAAGTTGTTGTGCAAAAGATTTTTTGAGATGGTTAAACTCTCGGGAGTCTGAACGTCAATGTTAATTAGAATATAAAATCAATCCGAGCATTTACAGTGTACACTGTTTTTCAGAGTAGCATTTATACCATGGTTTTGCAAATAGAATGATCATTCGCTTTCATTTTAATGTCACATTTTGTGAAAGAAACAATCAAGATACGCATATTCAATGACTTTGATGATAAATTAAAAAAATAATAATCCAATTTTCATTATATTTGGCACACAAAAGGACTGTTAATCGTTATTTTTTTTTTTTACGTTTAAAAAAAAGTATACTGTAGATCCTTTAAATAAAACATGGAATCGCTAAAATCCAAAACGTAGGAATGGGATTACTTGGTTCCGCATAATGCCCTGTTCAAATATACGATCCACTTCCTACTTATTTTTCGTCTCATCCATATCAGCAACTTCCCCATCAAAATTTATGTTTCGAATCTTCTTCTTGAGAGAACTCCATCGACCAACTAATCCTTGCCTTGACCTTAATGGAAAGTGGTTTTTTGCGAGTTTGGCCCACGGGACTTCCATCAAGTGTGATAGAACCAGGTCAATTAATAACTGATCGTCTTCGTGTTTCCAAGGTCCTGTGTTGGTGGAGGTTGCAAATTCAGCGGTTGAAACGAGAGAGTTGGATTCGGATGGTTCCTGTTCCTTGGATTGCTTTTTTGGTGCTCGCGGTTTTGGGGGTCCCGTTTTATTCTTGGGTTTTTTTGATTCGGAATCTTCAGCTTTCGGTTTCATGTTGCGTTTCCGTTTTTTTGGAGGTGGTTTTGTAATCATTGACTATAAAAAAGAAGATTGTGTGCTGGTATATATTGAAAATTACGATTATAATCTACGCATAAAACATAGGTGTATTCCTTACCTCTCCTTCAGGGTTTTCATTGTTCCCTTCTTCAGTGGTTTCCGTTGTCACGGAAGGTACCGTTCCATCGACACTCATAAAACTTTCCTGTGTGCCGAAATATTCTTTCTCATTCTGCTTTTCCATTCTCTTTACCTTTCTTCCTATCTCAATTATTATTACGCGTGAAACCGAGACACTTTTACAACATGAATAATAAAGGATAGAGAAATCAAATTTCGTACCTCGATTTAAGGATTTGTAAGGAAACAGAATGAAAGCCACCATACATCCTTTTTTTCATAGTCTCGGGCTTTAATCTATTTTACTTTTACAGATTGAAAAATGATGGCATGAGCATACAACTTTGACTACATTTTCTAATATGATCTAAGAAAAGTTCATACACATCTTTGTTACATTCATTGTCATATGATTTCTCTTTGTCGTCACCCCGAAGTATCTGAAATTTCCCGCCGGAACTTCGATAATACCCCGCCTAAAACTCACCACAGTGTGCTAAAAAAGATTGGACGATTTCTACTGTACGAATCGTGCAAACAATTTACAAATAGTAATATAGATAACATAAAAATTTAAATTTATTAAAATTTTAATTTTAAATCATTGTATAATTTAATCTAGTTTAAAATATATTGGAATTAAATTATAGTATAACCTTTGTATCATTATGTAAGATTTGATAAACTCCAAGACCTCAGACCTTTATTTACTGCATAAAATACTTCATAACTTGATGTTAGTGTCGTGTCGTTAAACGAATAAACTTTACATTGCAGTCGGTAGGCAATATCACTCGTTTCACTTTACAGTATCACGACATTTCGTTAAAATTTTTTATTTAACTGCTTAATTTATTTATGATTAACAAATCTGCAGTTGATCAAAAAATCTAAATTCCTTTACGATTTCATCGAAACGTTTAAACATGTTTCATTTAATGATTGAAAATTTTCAGATTCATTTTCTAACTGAGAAGAATTAATGTCACATTAAAAATCTACATCATTATATACAAGTTTTAATGTAAATATGAACCAGGTGTAAAAATTGGTTTGATATTAAGTTACAGTATAAAAGGTTTGACTATCATTTAGACTCATTGTTCTTTAGTCAACTTAAATTCACACCCATTAAAACCGCCTACTTCTGGTAAATCGATTCCTCTCGCTCATACCTAACCCTCGATCGAATTCCCTCGAATCTCTTCGATTTCTTGACTCTCGAATTTCATCCCTTTCTTCATCATTCGGATTATGATCGGAACAATCTTCCGCCGATATTCGAAGGTTATTATCTCGCGGCCTGCGATATGACGTTTCAAATCTTCGTTCATTTTTGAACCCGTCTCTTGGGTTTACTACTGGAATCCCACGATATTCCCTCGATAATCTTGCACCTGGGCTCTGTAATGGCTCTCTAACCCTCTCATCCCTAAACCCACCTCTTGAATCCCGTGTCAATGAGACATGACGATTACTTGAACGTGATGAAAAATCTTCGTCTTTAAAAAACTGCTTCTGATTCATTCGTTTTTCATCTTCGAACCGATCATCACGAGAGGATCCGAGTCTCTGAGAACCAAATGATCCAAGACCGCGATAATTGTCATAATTACGAGAAAATGTGGGCCTCCGAGAATCATCTGATCCTTTAACGCGGTAATCGTTATCATCACTAAAACCTCCGCGTCTTGTCGACAACTTGGATATTTCTCTATCTCTCGAGTCATCTATAATTATGGTTTCATCGTCATCCAACCAATTTTTCCCCTTTTTTTCGACAGAACTCAGCGACCGTGATTTCACATCCTCCTTTCGGTTATGCCCACTTTCATATTCTGTTTGTTGGTGTGTATATTTTACATCTTGATGTTTATATTCCGATCCATTCTTAAGCGATCTCATCCTCTCTTTTTGCATTCTAAATTGTTCTATCTGCGCCTGTTTTTGATTTAAATCCCAAAGTCTATTTTTATAAAACTTTAAATTATTCTTCCAGCGTTCTTCGGTATGGTCAGGTAGTTTTCCACCTGATTTGTCCAGAGCTACTCCGTATGCATTTATAATTGTTCGCAAAAAAACGACGTCGTCAATCTCAAACGGAAGTTTCGAAATACCACGCATTGTGGCAGTTTTAACGAGTGATAACGGATCCTTGAGCCCAATTTGATCAATTTTATTTAAAATCCAACGAACTTCTCTTGTCAAGACATCCGGATCCGACTCCATGGTCATCTCGAGAATCTTCGTAAGTGCCGTTGTCTTAGGAATGACTTTGTGCTTAATTATGATGCCAAAGATCTCCTTCACTGCATCTAAGTTTTTTGCATTTTTACAAGATATCATGAGTAAATCAAATGTCATGTCGATAGGTTGAAGTTCTAAGTCAAGCACTTGTTTAAAGATGCCGATCGCTTCGTCACATTGTCCGGATTCGTTGTAAAGTGATATTAAGCTGTTAAAGTTTTGGATGTCCGGTCGGAGATCTGGAAACCTCACTTTAGCTTCATTAAATAGCTTAATGCCTAATTTATATTGCTGAGATTTAAAACATAAGCCTATCATAATATCTAACGACTTAGATGTCATCTGTATATTATATGGACGAGTTCTAACTATATCATCTCCAATCCCGTAGATATCTTTGATAACCTCGAATCCTTTCTCGATCTCTCCAGAGTTCCTGAAAGTGAGAAGAACCGAACACACCAAATCATCATCAATTGCGTCCTCCTGTTCCGCAGCTCTCCTCGCGGGCTTTCTAACCGAAGTCATCGCTTTCTCATAGACTGACTCCCAAATGCTCATTGCCAACTCATATGCCTGATCTGAATATTTCCTGCAATTTTTCGCGCAAGCCGATAAGACGATGGTGTATGTTTCCTTGTTTGGAATTAGCGCAGTCCCTCCTTGATAAAAGAGCGCGTCATAATTATTCAATAGTGCTTGAAATTCGTTCGTGCGAAAACAAACTTTTAGAAGTGCATTTGCGTGACCCACTGTCAACTTGAATGTCGATTTTGTTCGACTCGCTCTCCTTATACTATCGATTATGGCTCTAGCGTGTAGTATGTTATCAGGCAATGCACGATACTCTGCTAAGCCGTTAAGTAGTAATGTATACGTGTTTTGACTGGGTTGCAACGAAAATCTTTTCATCTAGAGAAATGAAGGACGGTATTTGACTTTATCATCAGGGAGAAAAGGCATTTGAACTTGTCTTTACCTCGTTCAGCAATCTAACCCCCAATTTCACTCTGCCTTTGTCAACACATTCCGCGATCAACTGGTTCCAGCTTACTTCGGATTGGTCATCGATCCGAGATTCCAAAACCAATTGAACTGCTTCTTCCAATTTATTTTGTTGAGAAAGCGTTATGACCCTCTCTTGCAAAGATTTTTTGTTCTTCTCTTCTCCATTCTCTCGAATTTCTTCCTCTTGTATATTAAGAATATCGGGTATTCCTTTTTGCAAAAAGAATTTGGGCCTTGAGGGTAATGAAGGTGAGACATTCGGTGGTGGTGAAGATTGTATGCTCACCGAACGAAATAATGTCAATCTAGTTGGACCTGACCAAGTGTTTTGAAACAAAGCAACCGAACGGACTAGGTTTTTCGGAGCGGACAGAGGTTTGAATCGAAATGCTGAATAACTATTTATGGAAGGGAATAACTTTGAACTCGATATTTTCAACATGTTTTTCACCATATGTAAGATTTACGAGTACGTGTCTGATTATCATTAATTAGAATTAAATACTGTTAATTATCTTTAAAAAATTATCTAAATCCGAATAACAAGATTTTTCTCTTTCAAGGTTTTTGGTTATTAATTGTTTAAATATTATAAATATTAAATTTAAAATTAAAGTATATTTTTTCATATTATTTTAATTAAAAAAAAAAATAAACCTCTGCAATTTTACATAGATTTTTATATAATAACTAACTTATTTTTTTTAAACCCTTTGTTAAGCTAGGCATGTATGCTTTATTAAATGTTTGTATACTTTACATTGTGAAATGTATCACTAAAGCTAAATCTCTATCTATTTTGAAACTTATCAAAGTGCAACTTTGGAAATAATTTTTGCTCTGTTAGTAGTTTAGGTAAAGATCCTTCCAATTGCTAATTTCATTACCTGCAAATCACCCTTTAATGTTCTGACTGGATTTAAAACCAATTATTTTATTTTATACTTTACTCTTTTTATTAAGATCTTCTTAAGGCTTTTATCTTCTAGGTTTTCTTCTTTCAGTAATGGTTTTTTTTTCTTTGAAAATATAGATTTCTGATTTGAAAGGTATAGGAATCTTTTTGTCTTGTTCATTCTATAGATTTTTTATATTTGTTTTTATTTAATTATCTTTTTCTATCTTATGTTTTAATTTTTTTTTCAAACTTGATTATAAACTTTTTTTTGTATCTTTATTATCTATTTTTTTGTTTCTCTTTCTATATATTTTCTATAATATTTTAAATCTACTATTTTTAGAATGAGATTATTTTTTATAAAACTAGTACAAAAACTTAAAATATCTTAATTAGTTTTAAAAGACAATTTTTTTAGTTTAGTAATCTATTTGTTAAACATCCTAGTTCTTCTTGATCATTTATTATCAGCCTAGTACTTTTTTCTTCAGACTTGATTTTTTTTTTTGTAAAAACTCTTTAAAATTTCTAAGAATTTCATCTATTTTTTTATTTTATACTACTTATAGTTAATCCTTATAGGTTAAGTATTTTAGCAAGTAATCTATAGTTTCTTTTTATTGATTACACTCAATATATTTTACTTACTTATATAAATTAAGTCTTCCTATAGTCAATTTATTTGACATTAATAACTTATTATTAATTAATTTGATAAAAAGATTTTTTTATTAAGATTTTTTAAAGAATACATTCTAAGTATATCTATTTTTTATTCTTTTTTATACTAAATTCTATCTGTGAACTTGATATTTTGAAATTTGATATTTTTATTTTTTTTCAATTCCATTTTATTGTTTCTATTATTAAGTTATTATTTTATCATTAACATTCTTAATAAATTGTTTGATTGAATTATCTAAAATTTTATCTTATTACTTAATTTTTATGATAATTTTGTATAAGATGAAATCTTTTTATTTAATTGATAGGATTTTTAGGACTTCTTTAACTAAAGCATCTATTCTTTTATTGTAAAAATTATTGAAATATATCCAAACTTTAATAAGTTCATATTTATAATTTTTTTCTTTATTAATTTTTATTTATATTTAAAAAAATTAATTTTTTTCTTTTAATTATCTCTTATATGTTTTCCTTGAATTTTTTTTTTCTATAATTATTTATTTAAAGATATAAGTTTGACTATTTGTATAAATCCTAATAATATTATTAATAAAAACTATTAGAAGTACTAATGTATTTACTATTAATTTAATTCTTATAAAAGAAAGCCAATTATTTACTTCTATTTGAAACTTGTCTTTTTTTTTTACTTTTTTTATCTGAATTTAAACAACTTTTATTTTTACTTTTTTTTTTTATAATTAATAAGCAATATATAAAAATAAAAGATTTGTTTTTCTTTAAATCTAAAATTATATTAGATATTTTTATTAAATAATTTTAATATAATTTTTTTTTATATTTTCTCTGATAATAGTTTTTTTCCAGGTTTCAATATCCATATGATTTACTTTGTTATTTTAAATAAAAGTCATAAAAAGGCTTTGATTATTGCAAATCACTTTTTTAATCCTTCTTTTAATTGTTGTCTTAAGATTTAAAATTTTAATTCTTATATTTTTTTAATAAATTTTCTTATATTAAGATATAATATTATACATATCTTTCTTATATCTCCTTTTATAATACAATTACTATTTTATATTATATCTTTTGAATATCCAAAATATTTTTGCAAATCAATCTCTTGACTATTATTAATACTATAACAAATAAAATATTTTACTATTACTTTGTATTATTCTTTTTCTTATTTTAACTTTCTTCAAATTCTTTGATTTTTTTTATTTCTTTACAATTTTTGTCATTTATCTTAATTGGGTTTTATTTTAAGATATTTTAGTTCTCATTTCATATAGCTCTTTTTCAGAATTTATAAGTTGCTTTAAAAGTTTTTTTGAAAGACTTTTAGTATAGTATAAAATTATTTTGAAATAAATTTTTTGTTTATATTTTATAGAATTTAAGTATTTACTAGTTTCTTATTTTCTTTGTTTCTTGATTAAGTAGTTGATTTAGATATATATATACAGTATATACAATATATATATATATATTTAATCCATATTCAGGTTAGTATAGCTTGTTTTTATTATATATACAAAAAATATTTACAAAATGTTTTGACTTTCATATATTAACTCACCTATTATCAAAAAACTATTTATCTAGATGCAACTTAATGAATATATTTTGCTCTTTTACTAACTTGGATAAATTCTCTAGTCAATAAAATCAATGCTTATAGGTTATTGCTATAGATTATTCTAAATTCCAACTGCAATTAAAAACAAACCTTTTTTTTCTATGACAAATCTAATTCTTGATGATTTCTATATACTTTATTCACTCCTTTCTTTCAAAAACTTCTTGCTCTGAGTTTTTTGCAAATATAGGTTTTTTTTCCTATTCTTATATGATCTGTATAATAGATCTATATCCAGATCTTTTGGTTCTTTTGTCTTTTTTAGTAATTATTAGGAAATTTTTTTGGTAGGGAACTTCAGAAATCTCCACATGTTAAAAATTTTCTGGAAATTTCGAAAAATTCTTCAAAAAACTTTAAAAATTTTTGAAAATTTGTAAAACAAAAATAATTTCATTAATTTTAATAATAGAAAACTTCAAAATTTTTTATTTCAAAAAATTTTAGAAATATTCAAAGCAATAATATATATATTAAAATAAAATTAACCAAAAAAATACTGATTAATTTTAGCCAATCAAAATTTTAATTTATAAGTTGTCATAATTTTGTC